GACAAACACTTCATAAGGGAAAAATTGGAAAAAAGGGAAATTTGCATCCCTTATGTCAACTCCAAGGAACAACTTGCTGATGTCCTCACAAAAGGGCTTTCATACTCGCGGCACAATGAGTTATGTGACAAGCTGGGCATGATAGACATATTCAGCCCAACTTGAGGGGGAGTGTTGTGAGGATTATTTAATTGTTATTTTATAGTTGTTGTTGGTGGGTTGTCAGCTTAAGATGTTGTTAGTTAGTTATTTTCTTTCTTTCTTATTAGTTTGTTTCTAGGGAGTGTCGCCAGGGGCATACTTGTAATCTCCATTCTTTTTATATTAAGCTAATATAAATAATGAACTGACGGCAGCCAGAAGTGGTTTTGTTCTTTTTCTCTCAATCATATCTTCCTCTTCTTCTCTTTCTCTCTCTCGTCTCTCTCTCTCTCCATGAATGATTACAGCTACTAATCTTTGCTCTGTGTTTGATGCTTTTGTTCCAGATTCTCATCCAATACATAGCCACAAGCCCATGATAGAGCTAATGGTGATACTGAAAACGTTGGGGAGGTGATGAGGAGAAAGGAAGTAATGTCTTCAGAAGAAAAAATAGATAGGGACAAAAGAATTTGGGAACTTATTGAAGTACTGTTGGAAGAATTAAAAGTGAAGGAAATGCACAAGGAAAAAATAGGCAAGGCAAATGAAAGAGTTAAGGTAACTGAGGGAGGAATAGAGTTAGAGAAGGACAGAAGAGAGAATAGAGGGAAAGAGAGCGTAGAAACTATCAAAGAGGATTCGGTGGCAGATTTTGAAGGAAAGTTTGGATGTAAATTGAAGGATCCAAATGACTTGAAAGTTTTCTTGAACAAAAAGAAGGAAGAGAGTATGATGAGGAAGAGGGAATTGAGTGAAGCTGAAAGACTGAGGATGGATGTGGAAGGGGACAAGAAGCTTAGTGGAAGAAGGAAAAGGAAGAAAGGGAATACGTAGGAGGTCAACAGAAGGAGGGTAAAATAGAAGCAAGTTAACAATGAAAAAAAAATAAGTTGGAAAGTGAGAGGTCTAAGGAGTGCGAGGAAGAGATCATTAACAAAGTTGGTGATTGCAAAAGCAAACCCGGATGTGGTTTTAATTCAAGAATCTAAATTGGCAAAATTTGATAATAGATGGGCTAGAAGCATTTGGAAGGCTAGGGGATTAAATGGGCAATGGTACCATCTTGGGGATCCTCAAGGGGTTTAGTGACAATGTGGGTAAGTGAAGTGCTCATAGGCATTGAAGAACTTGTTGGTAATTTCTTAGTGTCCATTAAATTTAGACAAGTGGAGGATGGTTTTGAGTGGGTGTTGACAAATCTATATGGTCCCAATGGTTATAGGGAGAGAAATGAAATGTGGGAAGAATTGGGGGATATTAAAAGGTTATGGGAAGGACCTTGGTGCATAAGAGGATATTTCGATGTAATCAGATTCACAGAGGAATAACTTGAGGCAAAGAGTAACGACAAGCATGAGGAAGTTTAATTAGTTTGTGAGTACGTTTGAGCTTAAGGGAGTTTGAGGAAATAGATTTGGAGGAAGAAAGGGGTTATATTCACCTCAAAACTCTGGATACACCTCTCCATTTTATCCATATTGCTCTAGTTCTATGGAGGATATCCTCCTCATTCTCTCCTTTGTTATGAATTATTGAACCAAGGTAATGGAATAGGTCAAATTGAATTATCTATTGGTCTCCAATCCTAACTAAGTGTACCCTGGTTTGCACACCTAATATTACTAAAGTCACATTGCATCTATTCTTAGTCCTACTAATTTTAAAACCTCCTATTTCTAAGACATTTGTCCATAAACCTAATTTTGCATTTAATCTTTTGCTAATTCCATCAATTAATACTATATCATCAATAAACATCAAGCACCATGGAACCTTCTCTTGAATATGTTTAGTTAATTCATCTATGACTAGCGCAAATAAATAAGGACCAAGTTCTGAACCTTGGTCAAGAGTGAAGACCCATTGTAACTTTAAATCTGATGACTCTACCATAGTAGTTCTAGCACTGGTTTTTGCACCCTCATACATATCCTTAATTAGGTCATCAGACCAATTTGGGACTCCTTTCTTTTCAAAGTTCCACCATATTACCTCTCTAGAGACTTTATCATATGCCTTCTCTACATCAAAGAAAACCATATGAAGACCTCTCTTCTTCTCCCTAGCATGAGCATGAAAAGACAAATCAAGATCCATGACCATGAGAGTTTGGTGAAAGTTTTTGTGTCGGCTGTCAACCTGATGCAACCCTCCTTTATCTGGGCTTGGAACCAGCAGTGTAAGACAAGCTCACACCATTAAAATTGATGGATGTATGTGATTAAACACCATAATATAATGCAATACTTTACCTTAAAAAAATAGAAGCATAGATTATCCAAATGAAAGTATGATACCAAATGAAACATATTGCATGCATCAATGAAACCATGAGAGGACTTATTACTGAGGAAAACCAAATGAAAGTATAACACCAAGATCAGGAGCTAATTAGAGGAATAAATGAAGAACATGACCCTCAAGGAAACAGTCAGCTATAAAGAAATACAGGTAGCAGATTTACCGCTGCAAGGCTATATCTTCTATAGAACAAAAAATCCAATTCAAACCAACAAAAACAGAATCCAAACTACATAATGTCAAGTCAATCAATCTCCCTATGTAACATATATAGAGAATAGAACAGGTTAAAACAAACTATTTTAGTTATCTTCTTAGATTACCAAGCAGAGATTTGACATAAAAGCATGAAGCTAACCCATTAATCCTAGAAACCAAACATTCAAGTTCACTGAAGAGCTGAAACTGCTGAGAGGTACATACAAGAAATTAAAATATCACTTCATAGCACCCTGGACACATAATCAAGAAAGAGAACTATGCAAGGGAATCAAGGGATATATTCTTGAATTCTAGGAAGGCTCTTTAGAAAATCAGGAAGTAAAGGAACTTGAGGCAATAGTATCAGCTTATAGGGAGGAAACCAAGAGGTTCAAATCACTAATAGCAACAAGATTTTAAGGATTCAATCAGTAAGAACTAAGAAGATTGGCAAATGGTTTGGCCGATTCACTCGCCAAGCAAGGGGTTAATAGGGATCGATTGTATTGGGCTCAAGTGTAATCTGATCTGTTTTTGTGTGAGAGGATGCACCTCAATCCTCTCCTAGGGATACTTGTAATATATGTATATTTCTGATGTTTATTTAATAAATTTTCTTTGAAGTTACCAATCAAAAAAGAAAAAATCAGGAGGTAAATCCAGCTTTAAAGTACCTTAAAAGATCATCATCCTCATGGAATACAGGAAATAAATTAAGCCATCTCACTACTCCTTGGATGCATCCTCCATGGCTTGAGCCACATAAATCCTTTATATTCTCCAAGGAATATTGTTCGATGGAAACAACTCTATTCTTCATTTCTCCTCTAGAAGAATCCAAATTCCTATTTTGTGCATTGAATAATGCAGCATCCTGGATCCTTTTCTATACCTTTATCTTTCATCCCTTTCCTTGTCTTCCAAGCATCCTCCCAAGAACCTGCTATGGCATATATACTCGATAGAACGACATAGTTGACTGCATCCTGGGGGGCTAAATTAAATAGATGCCTCGCTGCCACTTCACCAAGAGACATATTGTCATATATTCTGCATGCCCCTAGAATAGAACCCCAAAGTGAGGCATTAGGTGTAACATTCATCTTAAGCACCAGATCATAAGCCTTTTCTAACTGGCCTCCACGTGCAAAAAGGTCAACCAGGCAAGCATAATGTTCACCTCTAGGATTAATGTTGTATTTGTTAACCATAGAATCAAAGAATTGATATCCTTCACTGATCAATCCACTATGGCTACAAGCAAAGAGAAGAGCCAAAAATGTCACATCATTAGGCTTCAGCTCACTACCTTCCATCTTCTGAAAAAGTGTAATAGCCTTTTCTCCATATCCATGTTTCCCATATCCAGCAATCAATGAAGTCCATGAAATAACATTTTTTCCCTGCATCTCCTCAARAGCATGGTTAGCATCTTCAATTTCTCCTGATTTAGCATACATGTCTATGAGAGCATTACCCATTGCTGTATCATAGTTGGGTTGATTCTTTAAAGCAAAGGCATGAAATTGTCTTGATAAGCTCAAGGATGCTATATTAGCGCATATATTAAACATGGAACAAAGGATGACCTTATCCATTCTCATGTGCATCCGATTTATTTCATTAAAGAGATCCAAGGCATCAGTGGTACATCTCTCACGTGCATATCCAGTTATCAGTGCAGTACAAGAGATCAGATCTTTTTCTGCCATAGAATCATAAAGAAACCTTGCATTTCTCACACTTCCGCATCTTGCATAAGCATCAATCAATGATCCAATCACCACTTCATGATATCTAAAACCCAGTTGGATAATGAAACCATGAATCCGGTTAACCTTCATAAGATCTTTACCTCTATCACAAGCTCTTAGAACACTTCCAAAAGTGAAGTTGTCAGGCATAACACCTGCTAAATCATGTTAACATCAATAATACAACTGAAGGAAATCCAACCTGGTATGAAAATAAAAAATGCAAAGAGGAAGACCTAAGTCATATGGCAATATAACTTCTTCAGAAAGAAGCAACATTGAACTGCATAACAGAATAATACAAATAAGAAAAAGATTAATAGAAATTAGAGAAGACAAATTTTCAAATTTCCAATCTTCTCTTATCTATTTGTAACTTCTTTCAGAGTATCTTTCTATAAGAAAATATGCACTAGAATATGCAATGYAAAATAAAGAAAGTACAAAGAAACAATTCCAAGGAAAAAATCCTTATTATCACCCATGATGTCAAAGAATGTTATATGATTAACTAAGCTAATGGTGAATGAATTGATATTCTTCTGAGGTTTCAGGAAAAAAGAAAAAGGGAAAAGAAATTAATATTTCCTCAAATACATAAAGAACAGGGACAGAATCAAGGTGGGGACAGAGTAGGGGCCATCGTCCCCCAAAATTTTAGAAGAAATTCATACAGTTCTCTTACAAACCTAGGAAAAGATCCCTTGGAAAATTATTAGGAAAGTTTAACGTAGCCCACCAAAAATTTAAGTATGGTTAATTGGTTTAGAGTACAGATTGACAAGCATGAGACACTGGGTTGCAGTGGATGGTTGCAAACCAACCAACCAACTCCAGGAAGCTCTGGCATTTCTTACTGGGGTTGGTTGGTTTGCAGTGGATGTTCCSAGGAAGTTTTGATTGCTAAGACAATGGAGAGGGCACTAGTTGGGAAAATGTGGCAAAGTATGTTGGAGGGCTAGTATCCATGTGATCACATGAGATATTTGACCATAACACCTTTTTGGAAATCTAAGGGGCAAAGTTCTTGGACACCTTAGAACGTGAATTCTTACAACATCAGAGTTAGAAGGAACATTCTATGCCACACTATGAAGAATCTCCCTGTGATCCTACAAGCATCATTAAAAGATCCACTACCTAGAGTCAGTAGTTCACCTCCCTACCAAGAAATACCATACTCTGATTTGATAGCAGTTCTTTTAGAAATTCTGGTGCTAGTCAGTAGTTCATTAATATTATTTTTGGAAATAATGAAATAATATGTTTAGAAGATTTTTATCTTTTAGATATGACAGTTTACCACATTTGAGAGAAAATTTAAAGTTCTTAATAAAGAGAATTGCTATTTTTTCAATTAATATGCATGCAGATGGTATATAAAACTAGGGAAGTAGCCAAAAGTTAGTTCTTTATATTATAAAAATATAAAGTTCTTACCGCCTAGGCGACTAGACACCCCACTGTCGCCCAAAATCAGCTAGACACCTTGACAACTATGGTCAAAACAAGAAATAAACTTTTGAAGGAGTTGTAGATTCCCAAAACACTTTGTGAAGGAATGACTGACCACTAATGCAACCATTTAGTTGATTAAAGGAGTTCACAGAGAAACCACCACTGTTTGACCATTTCCACCATCTCTGGTCAGATTCATTAGAATTTAAGAAGATATTATGCAATCTCATTAGCAGGTTGGAGACTTCTTGCACTTTCCAGTCATACAGATAACAGATTTCTACTAAAGTTAGGAGACAAGTGCCCTCCTCCAACTCCATAATCATATTCCTGGGGAACTGAGGCATATAGGTTCACACTTCATAGCAGTATTCACGAGATTAGGGAACAAGTCAACCAATGGACTGCTGTCAGCCCAGCTATCCAGAAAAAATGGCACTAACCTTACCACCAGTTCTGTAATCATCTTATAATACCATGAATTTGATATGGTTAATTGATCAATGTTAATTTCATTGTATTTGATTACAGAAAGATGAAGACAATGGGTATAAATAGATGGTGAGGTAGAACATAACAAATAAAAGAATGCCAAGGATAACATCTATAGATCATACATATTCATAACACTTAGTTAAAATTTCTATATTTCTTGTTTCTTGTTCATTGTTGGATACTACCAGGATAATTTCTATCACATGACAAACTAATCAAATTATTTGCTTGAAGCAACAAAAAAGAGAATCTTTAGGTGCACATCTAAAGGTATTCGTTGATACTCTTTTTTATGAAAATCATTACCCTCCCAAATAACTTGTCAGATCAAGTACATGATGGATGACATAGTTACGTCTGTTGCTATCTCACTGAGATGCATAGTGTCCAATAATGAGCATCCAATCCACTTTTTTCTTATTGCAGCCTTGGGCCTTGAACATGCACTATTTGCATCAAGAATTAAACGCTAAGTTCTGTTTCTGATAAGAAAGTTATAGAGGCATCGTAATGAAACAATGGATGATGTTTCACCACAAATTTAAAAATATTAGGCCACCTCCCATATGATCATGCGTTGTAAGGTTCTTGACCCTGTTTAAAAAAAGGCATATGAACCATTTAATGAGTAGCTTAACAGTCAGAGAGTCTAGACAATCAAGTATTAATATTCTGGAAATAAAACTATACCATATAAAAAAAGAAAGAATATTCTAGTAAAATGATTTGACCATTACCTTCACASAGCATTGAACGAAACATACCAAAGGAATCATCTGCAAGCCCCTGAACAGCAAATCCGGCAATTACCGCATTCCAAGAAACCACATCCCGCTGTGACATCGTCTCAAACAAAAGCCTAGCATCTTCTATCCTTCCACACTTGGCATAAAAATCAACTAAAGCAGTCTGTACAAATAAGTTTTCAATAAATCTACTCTTCACAATACAACCATGTATCTGCTGCCCCTTTTCCAARCACATCATATTCGTGCATGACCTCAAAACACTTCCATAAGTGAATTGATTGGCCTTAAGACCAGAAAGATGCATTTCGGAGAATACCTCCAGAGCCTTCTCTGAAGGCCCATTTTGAGAAAACCCCGAAATAATTGCAGTCCAAGACACAACACTTTTTTTAGGCATTTTATCAAATACATTGCAAGCAGCATCCATGTCTCCTATTTTCGCATARAAAATTATCARTTTGGTGCTCAAATACAGGTCCGAGCTGAACCCATTTCTTAGAAGATGGTCGTGAAGAAATCGACCTTCTTTCTCAGCCTTTGAATCAATACAGAGCTGCAWAATTGATGAGTACGAAGTGGAATTTAAGGGAATGTGTTTTGACTGGAGGAACTGCATAGCTTCTTCTAGCCCTCCAAGCCTGAGTAGAGATGACTGGTTTTCTRCTAGGTGGTTGATCGCTCTCTTCCATATTCTGTTCATGTCTACATAGGAGCGGTTGGGGACGTGTGTTTCAAACTCGCCTCATCTTACGATGAGGGTGCCTCCACTTCATCCTGGTTCATAAGAAAGGCTTCAGCCTAGTTCATCAAAAAACGGGCCTTGTTTTGGCATAACGTAAGAAATGAGGAAATTTTTGTCTTTTGAATACTCCTAAAACATATCAATATTTTAAACCTTGGTCGAGAATGATTCCTTGTTGCTGATCAACATATTGAATTCCAAGGCTTCCCCTCCTTCACACACTTGTTCTTGGTTAATACAGTTGTGATGACAGGGGTAATAGATTTTATTTTTTGATCGTCTAAAATTCCCGATTCTTGTACAAGATGTTGTTTTTGATGATGTTTTATTTCTTCCTAAGATCAGAGTGGGTTAATTTTGCAAATGGGTTGCTGGTTGACATGAGGGAGTGCTATTTGTTTATTGCAGGCTACATCCTCCCCTATATATTTCCACTTATTTTTATTTCTTCCAGTGAATTGGTAACAGGGCAAAAACCAATTCGGGCCTCGTTTGGCTTCACCCCCTTACGAAACCCATTTTTTTTGTCAACCCTTCACATCCCACCCATATATGCATATACGTGCTCATGCTTTGGGACTTGGGAGAGAATTTCGTTTTCCTCTCACAAGAACTGCATACTATTTGCAAATTGCAACAAAAGTTTGAACTTATATTACAGTAGAACTATGTAATTTGACACATGGAACACATGGAAACAGAAAAGCAATTGTTACTAATCAGAACAGTCGCCAATTAAATGACAGGAAACCACAGGTTAGGCATAAAATTACATAAGTTTATGAATTGGGGGTATGTCGCTTTGGTGCCCTAGATTCAGGCTCTCACTCAAAATGCAGAACTATAGAATCCTGCTCTGATGAACTGAATATTCCCTGGGAATGGTCAATAAGTGATTTTTAATTTTCAACAAGAATTACTCTCTCTCCAGAAAGTCACCGAAGTATGCTCCTACTTGATGACTTGGTAAATGACTCAAGAAGCCTGTACATCCACCGATCTAGCATTCCTGTCATTTCTCTCTCCTTTTTCTTCTGTGTACATTCCAATGCTGCTTAATGAATAAAATTTATTCTGTTATTGATAAAAAAAAAAATACACTAAACCTGCTAATGACTGAGAACGTTTTGAGACCAAGGTTATACAGGTCCACCTCAACAAGGCATTCTTTCCAATTGGGTGATGTAGGACAAGCAGGCTTTGATACCAAATAATGTAATGCACCAATAAAATTGAAGGTATCTGTTAGCTATAATACGGTCTAGATTGAAAAGGTCCTGAATCAAATCGCCAAAAATGGCAGGTTCTCCATAGGAAGATGTGATTACAAAGAAGAAATAAAACTAGGTTTACATTTTTAATGAAACATGTAATGATATATTCAGAATAATGCATCATTGGATTGTATACAAGATTAATCTAAACCATTCTAAGCACTTTTTTCTTTCTTTTGAGTAAAACATTCTAAGCACATTTTCTACAAAAGAACAAAAACTGCCTTTGTGGAAGGAACTACCAAAGTTCAAAAACTAGCCTTCTAATAGATTTTTTAGATGAAGTTTAGTGAAATGAAAGGTCATAAAGATCTGTGAAGTGCCCTTTATATATGATTACAATCGGAGAGTGACACAAAAGGATGATATTTGATATTTTGTCAACATCTTACAATTATTGATACAATTCATGATTTGAATAATGTATTCTAAGGGTTTATATTTAAATCTTATGTCTGAATCTATCCGTGTGTTGATGAATCTTATGATTTATACCATTTAGTCATGTTAAGAGGTGTATGGATACGGGTATTATGCCATTTTATCTTATTTTATGTTATATGCTTGGAGATGCAAATCTGTCCCATCTTTATTAGGGACAGATGGGTTATTTGAATCTCATTCTAAACATATAAATCTCTCTCTCCCTCTCCCTCAGGCTTAATACCATTTACATGGTATCAGAGCTTGTTCAATCACTCCAGAGAACATTCCAGATCTGATTGGTTGTTAGAAGGTGTTCAGCTCCATCGTTGTGTAGTAGATGTGTAGATGTGAGGGTTTGCAGCTATGGTTTATCTTGGAAGCATTCATAGTGTACAACATTAATCCCTCTTGAAGTTCCTTGCTGTTGCAACCAGTTCTGTAGTTACAGGCACTACAAGAAAATTTTGATTGATTTGTAAAATAAGGTATACTCCCTGTAGATTCCATCACCTGATTCTAAGGAACCAGATATCCTTTCTTGTTTTCTTAACATATTAGTCATTCTATTCTTCCAGTAGAAAATTATGTGTTTGGATTAAACATTGGACCCACTTTTTTGAGTGATTAAATACTCATTTTCTTAAAAATTCTAACAAATTCAGCATCGTCAGTAAAGTAGATTGATTGGGACTGTGGGGTTTTAGTTGACACAGGGTTGCATTCCTTGCCTGTGACTCCATTGATTGATGGGTTGACAGATTTCTTCAACCATCCGAGCATGTGATCGAAGGACCGGTTCTCGAGGATAAGGATTACAATGGTTTTGATGGGTGATTGGTTAGAAGCAGCAGCAGAGGAGAACAGTGGAGACAGGAGGGTATTCTCTGGTTCTGAATCTTTCCATGTGTGGTAATGACTAATGAAGAGGTGGAACTACAGCAAAGGAGATACTCCTCCAGTTTCTTTGTGAAGCATGAATGAACTGGGGGTCCGGGGCGAAGGTTTTTTCCAATGAAGTATTGTGGAATTGGATTTTCTGCGATTGCTCAAGATAGAGCTGAAACTGTCTTTCCACAAAAGATATTCGGAATTATAAAGCTCAGAGACAATAAAATCATGAGATTCAGTTCAATAACAGATAAACTGGGGAGGCTTTGATTCATAGATGTAGGTTGGAGTCTGAGAACATATTGGGTTTTTTTTTGGACAGATTGTCCAACTTGCGATGTTGTAATTGTAAAAACTAGTGGGATGGATTTGTTCACATATGAACTTGAGGTTAAAATTCCTACCCGCAATCGATTTGACTCTAATGCTTTTGTGGAGTCACAAGTTCCTTCTACGGCAATTTCACCTGATTAAATGTACATTTATGTATTTTCTCTCGTTGAGGAAGAATGGTTGGAGACCTTGCTTATTTGGTTGCTATCATTGTTGAGTACTTGTAGTGTGCGGCTGTGGAAAAACTCGAAGTACATCCAAATCTATATCTTTTGACCGTACAACTACTAGCTCGTAGTGATCGCTATGTAGAGCTTATTCTCCTTGATATCAAGTAGAAGAAAAGGGAGGAGAGAAAGGGGAAGGGGAAAAAGAGAAAACGGGGGAGAGAAAGAGTCGTGAGATCGGGGAAGATGAACAATATTTTTTTCCGAATAGTTATTATATGGGTAGTACGGAGATTTAAAAATATTGTAACGACGGATTTCAACGGAAGGGGGTCTTAATTGCAAAACAAAGTACAGGGGGTCTTTGTCATAGACCCCATAGTACAGGGGGGACTTTGTAATTTACCTTTAAATTTAATAAAAAATTCACTTAAAATAATAAAAATAATAACAATTATTAAAATTACTATAAATTATTAATAAAACAAAAATTATTCATATTAAATTAATAATAATAATTTTCTGTAAATCAATATTAAATTAAAATACAATTATTAAAATTTTAGATATTAACAATAATTTTGAATATTTTTAATTAATTAATAACAAACTTTGATTATTAATTAATAATAAATAAAATTATTAAATCATTCAGATTTCCCCCCACTAGTTAAGGTAAAAGATAAAACCCCTAAAAGACCGAAGGCTCAGTTTTGAAGGAGTACAAATACAAATTTGTAAATTACAAAACCTTCTATTTTGTATTATTTTCTATGTATTTCCAAAAGCTTAAAAGTCAAAATGCTCTTTATCTGAAAAGTTACAACCGAAGCTTTTGGTCTATTCGGGCTTTCCACCTACATCCAACAAAAACTCGAACTCTACGAAACATCCTTCGTTCAATCGTTCTCCGCTTTCCAAAGTGAGGAACTTTGCCCCAAGCGACTGAGAAGCATCTACGCAGGTAGTTCTTTTCCTTTTAATTCCTTCAATCCTCTATTTTTTTTCATCGTTCCATTAATTTCCCCTTCTTCTTCTTCTTCCATCAAGTACTAATTGACATTTTTTCTTGTAGGAGGCTAATTACTAGTTGTTCTTCACCGTGTTCAGGTATAATCAACTGCCATTGCTCATTTTTTTTTTCGGATTCCATTGACACATTAGGCTCCAGGTTAGGGCTTAACATTTGTTAGTGTTCTATCATCAACATTTTTTGATGTCTATTTACATTTTAAGTTTCTGCGGTCTGAACCATATATACATCTCAAAAAAGAAAAAAAAAAGATAAAATAAAAATAGTTGGCGTAGCAAATGATTCAGTCATATTAGGAACACTCGTTTGATGCGGTTTGGTGAACCATTTGTTAGAATAACATAACCTATTCCATCTGCTCCTGTTACTGGATCGTATGAGCCATCAACATATATGTAGGCTTCAGGATTTTTCTGGGGGTGTATTTGTAGTGTTCGGTTGGGACTAGGTGGACTAGTGCAAAAGCAGCCTGTGTGGGCACTGGGACTGCGGAGCATGGTGGAATGTTACGATCCATTTGTTTCACATTGGTAGTATGGGATGCTAATGTGAGGTATCCCACATTGGTAGTATGGGATGCTCTTGTGGGGTATATATGTGCTTGGGTCTCCCTTCCTCTAACAGCTAGCTTTTAGGGGTGAATTCTCCTAAGACACCTATCAGAGGTGACCGAGTGGAACTTAAAGCTTAAAGCTTAGGGGATGTCAAGGGGAACTGTATTTTATGAAATTCAGGGGTCTTTGGAGCACTTTGGAAAAGAATTCTTGTAATTTTGTTTCCTTCAGTGTATTTCTGTTAGGTTGTTGGTTTGTCAACTTGACAACCAGTATTTTGAGATGTACTGCTTTTTTCAAGTTTAATGAATTTTCTTTTTATCCTTCCCCCCAAACCACTCAATGCCTCCACCTTTCACCTTAAATCAAACACCACCAAATACCTACAACCTCAAACACTAATGCACAGCCTCCAGCCCATAAGCAAAATCTCAAAACACCCTCAGTTTGCTCTTGATTCCAAAACTGTATCAAATGAAAACAAATTAATCCCAAAAAATGCAGGACTTTTGTATTCAACTTTCTGTCGAGGAAACCCTAGTTGGTTTGCCTCTTTCATTCCCTCTCTACTTGTTTTTATTATCTCCATATCTATAAGAGACAGAAGAATTTCAAGGCTTTAAATTAACTAAGATAAGGTTGTACAAATTTTGGAATTCAGCAAGAGTGCAAAACTCAATGAGCGTTTGATGCCAACTATTATAAAAAAATTGAAAGTGTCTCACAATCTTTTTTAATTTTCTTGTTGTAATTTCAACTTCAACCAATGATGAGGGAGATGTATGTGGAAGAAAAAGGGTGTTATGACTTTTCTTCTTTTCTAATACAGGGGTAATTTGGTCCTAGAAACTTTTTCCTCTTTTTGTTCACTGTTTTTGCAATTAGTTTCTAAGTAGCTGAATTTTCCAATAGAACAAATAAATTAAATTCCAAAAGCCCATAAATAAATACATAAAAAATGAAGAAACTTATTTTCCAAAATAAATTAAATTTTTTGTTAAGCTTATTAGCTCAAGTTAACATACATAAGCATAACATATAAAACAAATTTAAAGTGAAAGTGAAGGCAATTGAATGTGGATCATACCAAAGCGCTTCAAGAAACAACAATTTAAGCTTGTGAAACTTGCAATGTGTTTGTCTATTTCTTAGCTGCATTACTTAAAGCAGCTAGCATGATGTTAGACAGGTTGGGGCCTTTACATTGGTATAGGAATAAGTCAAGTCTGTACAAGCCCATATGGGGGAAGGGTGTTGGATGCAATGGTTCTCTTTAGCCAATATGTATAACGGGGGTAGGTTTTGTGATTTTGGTTGCAGTTCATCCTATTTTAGGTTGATCGGAGATTAGTTGTATTATTGTTGCATATTTAGTAGAAGTTTTGCTATCTAATATCTTATCTGCAAAACCAGGTCTCCATGTATTCAAAAGGTCTTTGTTTATTGTTACTTAAGTTAACTGACTTACTGACAATTACTATTTTTTGGAAAAAGGTAATGTAAGTTTATTCATCATAAGCGAAAGAAGGTTACAACTCAGACCCAAGAAGGCAGTCTGAAAAGTAACCAAAATTACAACCTCCACCAGGAGCAAGACTGAAGCAAAACAGACATACCAAGACCTCTGAATTCCCCAGATGTGGAAATCCAAGAGATCAACTTGCCCACAGCTCTCTGAATTACATGATCAACATCCTTATACCTATTACAAAAGATTCTACTATTCCTTTCAGCCCAAATGGACCGCAGGATTGCAGCTGGAATTGTCTTCCACATTAGCTTCCCTCTCTTACTAAGACCATTCAGCTTCCAGGAACACAAGTGATCCTTAACTGATCTCGGCAAAACCCAGTTAGCGCCCAAAGCTTTAAGAGAATGCAGCCAAATCTGTAGAGAAAATGGACAATGAAGATAAAGGTGCTCCGTAGATTCTTCAACGGTCCCACAAAGCACACAACTTGCATCCGGAATTGGAATACCCCTTCTCAACAAGTTAGACCTGGAAAGACATTTATCAAGGGCCATCGTCCAGACCAAAAAGTTGGCTTTTGAAGGGCTCAGAGGGTTCCAAATCTGCCTAGCAGGGGACTCAGAACCTCCCACATTATCTAACTTATCAGCCATGGATTTCACAGAAAACACCCCATCCGGCTTCCATTTCCAGCACCACAAATCCTCCCCTAGCACATCAATCTTCTGAACAAGAAGCAGAGACATCAGCTCCAAGAAGTCATCCAATTCCCAATCAAACAAATTCCTCCTCAAGAGAGGGGACCAAGACACTGAATTCTCATTCAATGATAAGTAATCAGCCACAGTAGCCTCCTGATTGACTGCACATCTGAAAAGGTGAGGGAAGGAACTAGCAAGGGGACTGTCTGAACACCATTTGTCTTTCCAGAATTTTGTTCTGTCTCCTTTGCCCACACACATTGAAATCCCTTCCCCAAAGATAGGAAAGTACCTCATAATTCCTTTCCAGAGAGAGTTGCCCCAATTTGGAGGGGGATCTCTCGTTCCCCAATTTCCCCAATCCACCCCATATTTTTCAGCAATGAGAGATCTCCACCATGCATTCCTTTCAACTGAGAACCTCCAAATCCATTTGCATAAGAGAGCAGAATTAAAATTCTTCAATTTCCTGATTCCTAGACCGCCTTCCACTTTAGGAAGACAAACTTGGTCCCAATTAACCAGATGGACCTTATTGTCCTCCTCCCAACCTCTCCAAAGGAAATTTCTCTGAAGTTGTTCCAACCTTTTAGCCACATCAACCGGGATAGGGATAAGGGATAAAAAATAAGTTGGAAGATTTGAGAGAGTACTTTTGATCAAGGTTACCCTTCCACCAAAAGAAAGGTATTTTGCCTTCTAAGATGCTAGCTTTCTCTCCATTCTCTCAATGATAGGACCCCAGATCGAGGAAGAGAGCCAGTTAGCCCCCAAAAGGGAGACCCAAATACTTCACAGGAAGATAATCAATCTTACATTCCAAGACCTCAGCACATTCCTCTAAATTATCAACCGGCCCCATTGGTATGATAGAGCTTTTGTTCAAGTTCACCTTCAGACCAGACACCACTTCAAACCATATTAAAATACCAAGGATGAGATTCAATTGGGACAGAGAAGCATCCAAGAAGCACAATGTATCATCAGAAAACTGGAGAATATTAACCTTTTCTCCCCCCGGGCCGATAGCAAAGCCTTCCCAACTCCCATCATCAGCTGTCCTTTTACAAAACAGGGTCACAAGTGCCACTAAAAGGTAATTTAAAAGTTAATAGGCCATTACAAGGGTGTTTTAAGATTGCATAAAAAATAATAAAAAGCAGAGTGCTTATAGAAGGCATATGCCTAAGATGATGCGCAATGTGCATCACTCATGTGCCTTCTGAAAGAGGTCTTGAGGGAGGTGCATTCCTTAAAATGTGCCTCCCCTATGTGCCTATGCATACTTTGCTAAAACACTGATATTACCTTTAACAAATAATTGTAATAGTTCTTAATATATCTAAAGTTTTATAGCACTGTGTTGATTGATCCCATCTTAGCGTTTATGAAATTTGACTTTGAGTTGTTTCTTCATTTGTGCCTTCTACTGATCTTGATCTGAACTCTTACCACGCATACTCTCTTCTCAGTGAACATTGAATTGCACTGGAGGTGTTTTTGACTTGCTCCATGAGGACACATAATCAACAATGCATTTGATTAAATGAAGGGGCATGATCCTATAAATTCATATGGTCAATACAGCCAGGCAGGCAAGAACTGCTGAGAGGGAGCACCTTAGATTTGCAACAATGGTTCATGTTCTGGCATACACTATATCTTTTCTGCTCTTCCTTCATGGATGCAGTATCAGTTGTCTTTGTTTCAGTCACAAGAATATGTTAGTATTGATTTTTCATGGTTCCTCTGCTATCCAGTAACTGTTAATCACATAATTCTCTGTTCTTAAATTTGAAAAATGTTTTCTTTACTTCAAATTTCACAGCATAGACCACAAAGTGTTGAATGTTGGGGAAGAGCTATATCAGGAAAAGTTACCTTTGCAAATGGGTTCTCGCCTTTACCAGTTAAAAGGGCTTAAACCATCCATGTGGTACGAAGTGAAGATATCATATCCAGCTTCAGTATGTATGTTCTTTTTGTCCAGTGTTTACTTTTTCAGCCTTTCCTTTCTTGAAGCTTACCCAATTTTCTTGAATAATAGATACCAGCTAGCTTCTCTATTTTGCTGAAAAGGCACGATGATGTCAAAGGTCTAAATGTAAAAAGAAGACTACTCAACACTGAGAAACTCATTTTTAAGGCTGACAGTCCTGACATCCTTAGTCTTCAGGTCTGAGTAAAATGTTTCACATTTAAGGATTTCATTGTTTTTGCGAGAAGTTTGTGAATATATTATTATTATCATTATTATTTTTATTATTATTATTATTATTATTATTATCATTATTATTATTATTATCATCATCATCATCATCATTATTATTATTATTATTATTATTATTATTATTATTTTTGTGCAGAATGGATTGCATGTTCTTGTAATTGTGGAGCCTGCTGGAGTTGTTGCTATCTCGCATGGTCTGGAGAGAGAGTTCATTGTTTTCAACATAGGTAAGCTAGAGATTATTTTCAAGCAATTCTTTCCATAATATCTGTAGTAATATCTCTACCTTCTTCTGACTTTCCTCTGTCAACATTTCTATTACAGGAAACTAATTCTAATTCATGTCACAAAGTTATCCACTGTGGATATTTAAACTAGATCTTTAACTAATTTAAACTTGTATAGCTATTTGTTGGCTCCCATTATGCATCTTCTCTGCATGCCCTTTAGGGTTAATTGCTTCCTGTCATAGGCTGAAAATCCTTGGACTCAATCAGTTCAAAATAAAGATACTTGGGTTAAATATGTTTCACGATGGTTATGGGAAACTAAATACTAATTGAACCATCCAGATTTCAAAGTTCCTTCTTAGGCCTTCTCCATTAGCTCCCAGAAAATGATAACTCTTAATTTATTTGTAAGCTGTAATCTAAATCTTGGAATCTTTATCTTTCGTACCAAGCCCAAAACAAAAACCTTAAGAACCTTATACATATTTCCTGTAAAAATCATGTTTTTGATTCTCTTCTGCAACCTTTCCTATATACACCTTCCATATTTTTTAAGTTGCATGGAATCATAGACCATAGAGGGATGGGTTTAAAAATTGATTGCAAGTTGTAGATCTGTAAATCATTATCATCTAAGCCTTGTCCCAAGTATATGGGATTGTCTACATCAATCCTATTCCACCATTCCATCTTTGACTTACTGATTGGTGCAAAATGCTATTCCAAATCCATTTGGGAGCCAGTGGTTGAAAAGTTGGAGAAGAGGCTGGGGGCTGGGGGCTGGAAATCCAAATATCTTTCCAAGGGAGCTAAGATCACTCTGTTAAAAAAAGCTCACTAGCAAATCTTACCATACATGTCTTATCTTTATTTCCAATCCCAGCCCAACTGGCTCAGAGACTGGAGAAATTAGAAAGGGATTTCCTTTGGTGTGGTAAGGAGGGTGAGTGGAAGACCCATCAGGTGAATTGGGAAACTGTTTGTAAACCTTTGGCTGCAGGGGACCTAGGTGTGAGAAGGTAAGGCAAGTCAACATTGCTTTAATGGGGAGGTGGTTTTGGATTTTTAACTCCCAGCCTCAGAGACTGTGGAGGCAGCTATTGTGGAAAAATTTGGTACCAGGAACAATGGCTGGGACCCATGTATCACTTCCTCTTCTTTTGTTTGTTCAGCTTGGAAGGGAATTGAGGAGTTTTTCCCTAGTTTATTCAAGGGGTGAGGCTGAAAGTAGGGGTTGGAAGAAGGATCTGTTCCTAGCAAGAGCCTTGGTGTAACAATTCTGCCTTAATGGAGACTTTTCCTTCTCTGTTTATTATAACTGAGGACGAGAATGTGCTGGTGGCTGATCAGTAGGGGTTGGAAGAAGGATCTGTTCCTAGCAAGAGCCTTGGTGTAACAATTCTGCCTTAATGGAGACTTTTCCTTCTCTGTTTATTATAACTGAGGACGAGAATGTGCTGGTGGCAGATCAGTTTGAGTGGTTTGGGAGAACAGAGACCTGGTATCCTAAATTCAGGAGACAACTCAATGATTGGGAGATTGCAGTTCTATTAGCTCTGCTTCAGTAACTCCAGAATCAACATTTATACCCAAATCAGCAAGATTTAAGCGTCTGGAAATGGTCCAGTAATGGCAGATTTTCAGTGAAGTCCTTCTATAAGAATCTGATTGCTGGTGTTCCTCAGGTTTTCCCATGGAAAGAGATCTGGCTCCCTCACATTCCAACTTAGGTGTCTTTCTTGGTTTGGACTGCAGTTCATGGTAAGTGCCTCTCACTCTCAAGGGATCATCTGGGTAAGAGGGGCTTAATGCTGGATTCTTCGAATTGCGTGATGTGCGGTCAGGAAGTTGAGTCTGCTGACCACCTCTTCATACATTGCAAGGTTGCAAATTCGTTTCAGCCTTTTTTGTTCTATGCTGAATGCTGGTGCCAGCCGAGTTCCTTGTTTGATCTTCTGTCCTCCTGGAAGTTGCTGGATTTAGGCCAAGTTTGTGCTTAAAAATAAGAGTTTATTTGAATAAGCACTTATTTTGGGCTGGGACGACACCAATAAGCGCTTATTTGCATTTGGGAAATAAGCTTAAATAAGTGCTTATTCAAGAAGCCCAAATTTTGGGCTTATTTTTAAGTGCTTATTTCCTTTCTGGCCTGCCTTGGCCTGCCACATCATTTTGAAAATACCTATACTACCTTGTTTGAAATAAGTACTTCACCAAATGCTCATGGCTCTTATTAGAATAAGCACTTATTTTTCAAATAAAAACTCCCAAACTCCACCTTAAGTTGCAGAGGTAAGGTGTTATGGAGTTCCATTCCTCGTGTGGTTTGCTGGGTTCTGTGGAAAGAGAGGAATGGGGGGATCTTTGAAAGAAAGTTCAGCTCCTTAGATGATGTGGTGGCTCGGGCTGTGGCTACTCTGCACTCTTGGTTGTCTGCTAAGGACTCTTTCAAAAATATCCCATATCATCATTTTTTTTTTATTAAAGTATCCTTTTTTCCTTAGATTCACAGTCCTAGTTACTTTTTGTATTTATATAGAGGGCATAACTCTTTCTCAAAAAAAAAAAAAATTTCTATTCCACCAATTTGTTATTTTCAATGCCATATCCATTGTTAAATTATGAGCACTTGAATCATTCCTTACTACTTCAACCATGTCCTTTTTTGTCTTCCCATAGCTCTTCTAGGCACCTCAACTTGTAATAGATCACTTCATGTTGGTGTTATTAGATGGTTTGCTGTGTGTCTGACCAAACAATCTTAGTATACTTTCTCTAATTTTATCACCTACTGGATCTACTCCTAGGTTTCTTTGAATGACTTCATTTCTGACCTGTCCCTTTCTAGTTTTTCCACTTGTCCATTCAACATGCACATTTTTGCCACATTCTTTTTTTCAGACATGTTTGTTGGGATATGGCTTGAATGATGATGATGATTGTTGGACATGTTTCTTGACTTCCCAACAACACTCTTCCTACACATTTTTGGCTTCACAACCATTTAAGAATTTTCTTTTTAGCCCAAGTGGTATTCACTTATCACATAAGACTACAGATGAATCCCTCAATTTTTTCCATTCCTGTTCTAATTCTATGGGCAACATCCTCCTCAATCTGTCCCTTATTATGAATTATTGAACACAGGTAATGGAAGAGGTCACATTGAGTTATCTCTTGATTTTCAATCCTAAGTTTAGTCTGATTTGCACTCCTATTATTATTAATAATCTTACATTGCATATATTCTATTTTAGTCCTACTTATTTTAAAACCTCTTGTTTCTAAGGTATTTGTCCGTAAGCCTAATTTTGCATTTAATCCTTCATTAGTTTCATCACTAACTACTATGCCATTTGCAAACAATAAGCACCATGGGACCTCCTTTTCAGTATGTTTAGTCAATTTATCCATGATTATTGCAAATAAATAAGAAATGAGTGCTAAGCCTTGGTGAAGATCCATTGTAACTATAAGATCTGATTTCTCTCCTATAGGTGTTCCAAGATAGGTTGTTGCACACTCATACATGTCCTTAATTAGGTTTATATACCTATTTCAAACTCGTTTCTTTTTTCAAAATCCATCATGTGATTTTTTTTTTGATAACTATCCATCATGTGATCTCTCTAGAGACCATATGGTTCAAATCAATACATGGAAGCAAGAAGGATTAATTTCTTTGCTGCATCCCATTTAAATATGTTGGGATACAAGGAAAGGAATAAAAGACGATTTTTGTTTGAATCCTACGATTTGATTCATAAATCTTACGGTTTATACAATTCCTACGATTCATTATGATTTAAATCCATTCAATTAAGAATTTGTTCTCTACTTTTGCCATTTTATTTTGATTATATTTTTGTCAAGGGTGTCTTGTTTTAAAAAGCTTACTAAAAATTGATTAATTTATTTTATTTAAGTCAATATATTGAGTTTATTTTATATCATATGTTGGATAAAGAGCCATTGTATATGGATTATTTGACTTTCAAGTCAAACCTGATTATATCATCTTAGACTTCTATTGTTTAAGTGGTAAATTCTATCATTTTAGGTACACACATGGTAGATATGACTTAAAAAGAGGGTAAAACACTATTCTATATATATTTAGCCTTTTAGCATATCTATATTTAAATTTTTGACAAGTTTGTATAAAATAGAAATAATCTTACGATTTGTGATACAATTCATGATTCAATGATTTAATTTTCTCGACGATTTATGATACGATTATGATTTTTAGAACATTGATCTAGGGACTAGCTCATCATCCTACCTATAGGGCTGTCATGAACTTTGAAGCCCAATTTGACATCCAATCTGATTATTCTGGACCATATTTGACATCCAAGCATAACAAGTAGGGGTGTCAATGGACCATATTTGGGTTGGACCCCGTTTGGTTCACATCTAAATTGGATGGATTGGATGGTCCAAATTTTATTATCGGGTTGGATTGGTCCACGTTTTTGTTGTCCGTTATAATTAGCGGACCGAAATGGATGAACCCCATTTCTTTGCAAATCGTATGAAAGTTCATTGAAACCTTGAAGGCTAAAGCTTGGACATTTCATCATTGGCGTTTTTGAAGCTAGTCCCTCTCTCAAACCCTCTTTCAAATGCCTCCTCTCGGACATGACCCATCAACAAAATGGTCGTCTCCTTTGCATTATCGTTGACATGTTTTTGGTAGAGGTGTAAACTGGGCCATGCCGCTTGCATCTTGGCACGACCCGACATGATTTTGGGCCGGCCTGACACGACAGAATGCGGGCTGTGTCAGGCACGACATGATCGTACGGGCCGTGTCGGGCCTGGAGTTTCAGGTCCATGGGCCGACACAGCATGGTGCCTCCCGCGGCTCGTGTGTCGGCACGGCCCAACACGACCCATATATATTAATATATATTTGATATATATTATTTTTTTATCAATATATATGATATAAAATATAAAATATATTAATTTATATATAATTTTATTTTCAATTTTATTATACTATTTCATTTTATTATTGCATATATAATCAATTGTGTACATCAAAATTCATATAAAATAAAATTAATATATTAATTTTTGTCTGTTTTGTTAATTTACTTTAAATTTTTTGTTTTTTTTTAGAAAATATACCTTTCATGGCTTGACCTGGTCCATGGCCCGGCTTGGCCCACGACACGGCCTGGGCCTGCGTAGGATCAGGCCGTTGGCTGTGTCAGGCCGACCCCCCAAAATATCCCAAGGGAGGGAAACGCAGGCCGTGCCATGTCAGCCCAACACGACCTGATTTACACCTCTAGCTTTTGGGATGGTTGGCCGAGGTTGCCGATGACTTGGGTATATTTCATTCCATCTTCAAGACTTCAACACTAGCGGTGCTTATGGGATGGCCATCTACTTCTCCTTCTAGTCGCACTGCCCTCACAACCAAACAAATTCTCTCGAGTAGGGGTGTCAATGGACTGGTTTTGTATCGGATCCAATCCGATCCAAACCTTATCAAATCAGATTTGGACGGTTCATTATAATTATTGAATTGAGCCGATCCAAAATAAATTGGTCCATAATCTTATTGGTCTGAATCGGACTTGAACCAAATTCCCAATAATCCGATCATGAGGCCAAACCCTTATCCAATTTGAAACCGATCAAAACTGAAGCCGACATAAAAACGCTTTTATGAAAACACTTTTACAAAAGCACTTTTATAAAAGTAATTTTATGAAAAATACTTTTATGAGAGCAAAGTACTTTTACGAAAGAACTTTTATGAAAGCATTTTCACGAATGCACTTTTATGAATAAGTACTTTTATTCATTCACTTTGGATTGGATTGGACCCAATCTGATCCATTTGCATTTTAATTGGATTAGATTGGAGCAGGTGTTGTAGTTTTTTTATATATTTTCTGGATTTCTTATGTTATTTTGGTGTTTGATTCAATTTGGATTGGATTGGATCCAATCTGGTCCATTTTGCATTTTATTTGGACTGGATTGGACTTGGTTTGTATGGATTTGGAGTTTTGGACTGGATTTGGTCGAGTCTATTTGTAAATGGACCAATATTGGATTGGACTGGATTGGACAAAATCCAGTCCAATTGATAGCCCTAACAACAAGGCAGATGCAGGTTAAATCTGAATCTGATCCGATTAAAGTCGCACCTACCTATCAGCCTACTTTTTTTATTTTTAGTAAAATTTCTTTCTATTTATTATCAGAGAAAAATGATGAAATTATTGTGCATTTATTACTTTATAAATTGTTCTTTTTTGTGTTGTTTTTACTTCTTTGATCTCTCTAAAGAATTCATTAGCGATCATGGAATTTCTAACCATGTTTAATTGCAAATGCAGTTTGCGATGAATTATTAGTTGGGATTCCACACAAAGCTTGGTGGGTCGGTATGCTAGTATTTCTCTGTTTGGGATTGGCATTAATAATTCCATATTTTCTCCCATCATATCTATTAGAGAACAGTCAAAGCTCACGTACAGGTAATACAACTACTGTAAAGGACTCATGAATTTGGTTCTTTATTTCATGTCTTCCACTTGTTAATGGATGGAAAGAAATTACATCATGATTATTTGATTGATCAAATTGTACTTGAAACAACAAAATAACCTAACTTGATATGTAAATTTTCTTTGAAAGAAACTCAGTCCATGAATCTAAGAAATAGTGAGAATTCTTGATCTCTCTCAATTTGTAAAAGGTCCAGGATTTGAATTGATATTGTTTCATTTTTTACTCCTAAAGATTTCATTTAGATTGGGAATGTGCAAAATTCTCCCTAGACTAAAATAGGTTAATAGCAATGTTTTCAAAACCGGACTGGACCGGATGGTCGGACCAGAAAAACCGGGAACCGGTTCCATTTTACCCCAGATCCGCCTTTTGGCCAACAATCGTTGATTTGGTCAGCAAATCGCTGACCCGGGTGGTCAAACCGTTCAAACCGTCCAACGGTTTTTTATTTTTTTGGCAGAATGGGCCATCCGTTCGATTCGAATGGTCAGGACCATTCGACCCGGGAACTGGACCCCTGAATGGTTCGTTGTCCGGTAGGTTTTCTAAAACCTTGGTTAATAGACTAGGTCACGTAGAGAAACTCCCTACTCGATTAGGAAATCGTTTTCCATTTGTACAATGCTTAACATACTCTCATAAGTAGGATTTACCTTTATTAATACTATCCGTGTTAAGGGTATTTGTGTCTTGACGGAGGTGGTTTGGTAATTAGACCATCTTAAATGGTCACATGTAAAAGCAAAAGCAATGGTGAGCACAGCTGTCATTCTACTTGCAAGAATAGGAATAACATTTGTATTTTACAATAAGATGAGGTGTCCCGTAGGGCTATAGCCAGGCACACCATCAAGGCCTCAGGCTTTGAAATGCAACAAGATGGGAATGTACCGTTGAAACTTGAAAAATAGATTTTTCTGAATGGGAATTTATAGCAAAACTTGGAGGAAAGGTGTATCTGATGGGTGGAATTCCTTGTTCCATCTCTGTTGAGAGCAAGGCTTAAAATATTGACATGATAATGCCTGTCTCCGTTTTCATAGATATCGAGATGTGGCATATGTTGGCGCCTTCATTCCACATGTATTGGGTCTGTATCATAGGTATCACTTTGTATCTAAGCTGTACAGAACCGATAGATCTCAATAAGGACTGATTCGGATAATCTGCTGGTGGAATTATTAATGTTTGCTAGTTTCACTTCTACAGCACATTTCTCACTCGTCATTCTTCATACTAAACACTTGTGGCCTTGTGGGAGAGTTCCTATTTGCAAAAGCACTTTTGGAAGAATGCATTTCTTTTATTTAATCCTTCAATATTCAGTAGATTTACATGTTAAATCATTTGAAATGCAAGGATATATTGATTTGTTGGGTCTATGATGTTTCTGTAATCATAATGAATAACTTATCTTAAATGGTTTTGATGGTAGGAAAGAGTCATACAATGGATCTATGAATGATTTATCAAATCCGTTGTTCCATGAACAATTTATGCCAATAAAAATGATGTTTTAGTGATCTACAGATATAAAAATAGTAAAAACAGAACAATTGTTTTAGTAATTAAAATTTATGAATTGCATATAATATGATATGTTGATATGTATCTTAGAAATTCTAATGGATTTGATATATTTTTAAATTAAGATTATATATTTCTTGAAGTTTATATTTAATAATTTGATTTGTAATAAACAAAAGTAAAAAAAAATAAAATATGGAATAGTTGGTTTAATAATTAAAATATAGTGGTTGCTTATGATTTGTTGGTTGATGCATTATCATTAATGTATTGTATGATTTCTACATGTCTCCATATATTAATTGTAATGTATTTTTTCATATAAACTATTAATGTGTTTCTTACATGTTTGTACTTTACGTATAATGATTTCAACTTAAATTTTTAGTGTTGTTACTGTATCTGCGAGGTTCATGAGAGTTTTCCTATTGTTTTAATAGGTATCCAGATCTTTCTAATGTATCCATATCCATGTGTATTCAAAACATATTGCGACATATATCCAGTTCCAACCTTACTGATACATTGTGATACCGATATTTTGAACCTTGCTTAATATCTAGAGTGCGTAGGGAAAAATAATGGATTCTGGAGCCTTGAACTGCACAAAATACTTTGCCTTTTCATTTGATGCATCATCTAGGAAGATTGGCACTGCTTTCGGCAGAAAAATGGAAATGGTTAACCTGCATGGTGAAATGGCAAATGATCTCCGTCCCATATACAGAGAAGTTAAGGAGAAAAGGGTTACTGGGAAAATTGTATCTACCACAGGGGAAGAGGAAGAAGAAGATGAAAGGAGACGGGGGATTTATCAAAAAAAAAAATGAAAGGAGACGAGGGATAACTGGGATGAAAACAACGAAGCATTTCTATCTAGTGCAGAATTCATCTGGGAGAAGTCCAATTGCTAAACCTCTGCTCAGTTTGCAAAGAGTATAAAACAAATACTTAGAGTGCAAAACCTTGTATTATTTTATATTTGCACTGTATCGTAAACATTTGTATCTGTACTCCTTCCAAGGTTCAGTTTGGGAGGAGTGCAACTACAAATATGTACCTCCCAAACTGAGCCTAAGCGAAAACTGAGGTTTAGAATATAGTGGCATTATCTTACATTATGTATCGTTTTTTGAACCCACCAATACTGCCAAATATTAGGGTTAGAATATATACCCTTTCAAGGCTCAATTAATTTGGCTTGTTCATTCCTTATATGTTCTATATATTAGTTTAGAAAATGTTATATCTCTATAAACAAGGTTTAAAGTATCGTTATGTATTGGCCCGTATCGGCCGATATGTATCGTTCTAGGACCCTTTCGATACGCCCCTACAGTGGGTGTATTGGGTGTCTGACCGGTTTAGGGGATGGAGGGGTTCTAGACCGGCTCTCCTGAACCAGTTTTGATAAAAAAATAAAAAAACAAGTATCGAATTATGAAAAAATTGAATCATAGATATGTCTTTTAATTTTAATTTAATAACAGCCTGGATTGGCAGTCCAATCGTTTAGGTCCTGTTGTCAACTTGTCATTACTCATATAAAAAAATATATATAAAAAAGATAATCTGTAAGACTATAAAATTACAAAAAAATAAGCATACATCTAATATTATATATCTATCATATTAATTAAGCAAATATTAGTATGTTTCTAATATTGAAAAGGCATGAAACCTAAAAAAGGGATAATCAATCAACCAGTGGCATCCAATTTGTAAGCAACTAACCACTCAACTGGTATTCATTGGATTCTAATTTTCCTTTTTAATTGGTTAACTTAAAGTTTCTAAGGTTTTCATACCTTCCTAGTATCATAGAAACTTCTGGGAAAGGACATACACTAATCACTATTTATTTATTTGATATGAAATTTTCATTTTTACTTACAATGATAAATATGACGAAATTATGAATATAAGTAGAGTCTGACAACTATGATACCGAAAAGATATCTACCTAAAAAAAATTGATAACCAAATCATAGTAACCAATTAACTGGTATTTATTCAATCACGTTAGTAACTATTTTCTAAAAGATTTTCAAGTATCAAATATATCATATGCAACAAAAAAAATCCCCAAAAACTTTTGTCTTCCTTATATGACAAACTAGCAAGGGTGAGAATAAAGTAGTAGAATCTTCAAAAACCTTCTTAATTAAAAGTCTTTTTTAGGAAAAAAAGATTTGCTTAAAATAAACAAAAAATTAAATATATTTTGTTATATATAATTGAGGTTGAGAAAGGGTAGGGACTTCACTCCCCATCACCATCATTATCCCTGATTGGATAGTTGAGGAGAGGTACCAAGAGTGGATGGGGAAAATTGTCATCTCTCTCTCTCTTTCATGGCATTGGGTTCCACACAACCCCCTCTCACTTATAATATGACATATAATATAAAAATATCTTATATTGTAAAAACAAATGAATATAATGAGGTTCTACTTCATCCGGTCTTAGGCTTATATTGCAAGTTTTGAGCCAAAAGTGTCAATTAGGGAAAGTAGGTCATTGAGATTTGTTAACCTTCTCCACACTCCCTGAGAGAGAGAGAGAGAGAGAGAGAGAGAGAGAGAGAGAGAGAGAGAGAGAGAGAGAGAGAGATGGTTCTTGTCATTATTATTTTTGTTTAATATAATGGCATCATTGTAAGTAGACTTATTCATGGGTCAGGCTTAGGCTTGACTTTTACCAAAATTTGAATGGTTTTGACCCAAAGCCCAAGCCCAAAATAATATAATGTTGGGCTTGAAACCCAGCCCTTAAACAGGTCTAATTGTAAATAGTTAGATGTTTTGTTGCAAGTGGGGTGAGCCTGGGTCGACTCGGTTCGGTTTCATGGCAAAACTTGGAACCTACTCTATATGTGTCAGTTCTAGGTTTTTGGAACCGGAACCTACCCTATGAAGGTCGGTTCTAGGGTCGATTTTGGCCTTGATGGTTCCGAGGTTGGTTCCAAGGTCTACTTGTAAATATGATATATATAATTTAAAACTTATATTGAACAAGTTTTAAAAACTTGATTTTCAATAAATATGATATATATAGTTTAAAACTTGATTTTTAATGGTTTAAACTCTCCCCCTTGAAGAAAAAAATGTTCTTTAAAAATTTGATTTTCAATAAATATGATATATATAGTTTAAAACTTATATTGTCTTTATTGGTTAAATTGAATAAGTTAATATATAGGCTATTATTATATTGTTCAAAACTTATAATTTAAATTTAAATTTTGTACATATTACCCTTTTACATTACTTATTATACACATTCAAATATTAATACAAAAACAAATGATCAAATCACTTAAAGTAACTCAATGGTCAAGTGAGACTATGGTCTTTGTAACAATGAGTACTTGGGTTCAAATTTTCACATCCCTAAAAGTATTTCGGGGTTTATTTCAAGGCAAGTTCAGTTCCAAGACAGGTTTCACCAAAATCAATTCCACTAAGACCAACCAAGGTCGGTTCAGATATGATAAACCCCTAAACCCTAGAACCAGCTTGAGTGAAGACCAGTTTTAAGAATTTAAAACCAGACCAAATCAGGTAGGGTCGGTTGAAGGCCGGTTCAAGATGAATTTCATTCGATTTCGGTTTAAACTTATCCCTTTATTCATCCCTAATTGCAAGTATGGAATGGGGGATTTCTAAATTCCATTACATACAAGAGCAGTCCATTGATAGTGTTGAAGGTCATAATTTTACGCTCTAAAGCAAGGAAAAGGACAAAAAAACACAAAAAATAAAATAGCCCCCAGACATGGAACATTATTGAAGAGTAAGGTATCAATTTGAAACGATAGTAAATAAAACCGAATTAAAGTACAAAAAATATGAAGCAGTTACTTTGGGATACCGTAATTATTGTGGAATAGCATTCTGCACAGAAAGACATCGACACATTGATCCCATACAACTGCTGCACCATAAAGCTCTGAAAATTTAATAAATTATCTTACTTGTAACGTCACCCTCCATTGCCGTAAGTATCATCTGGACTCTAAACACCTCTACTTATAACATTCATACCCGCCTCTAAATTAGCATTAATTTCGAGCTGGCACCTACTCCAACTGAGGGTGAAATAAACAGTAAAAACCAATGTTGATTTGGACGGTTGGACTGACCATTTAGTTTAGAAACCTTAAAGCAACCGGTTTTGTTTAACCTTTAACTCATTCCTAGGTTAAAAACTATTGATTTTGTCATAAAACCATTGACCGGGGCAATTAAACCGTCACTCATTTGACCCAAATAACAGTTCTCAATTTAAGAAAGTTGCAGAGAGGAGAGAAACACAAATTTAGATCTGAGATCCAGTTTGAGACACGAATTCAGATTTGATATCCAACACAAAGAGAGAGAGAGAGAGAGAGAAGAAGAAGAAGAAAAAGACCACAGTATAGACATTGCAGAGAAATCAATCTCAGGTCTGCATCTGTTGCTGCTGCCTCGCCGTTGCCATTGCCATTGCCAATGAGTGTCGAATCATCCTCCTCCTCTTCCTTCTTATTTCATCATTCTCTCCTTTTGCTTTCTCTTTTTTTCTTTTTTTCCTTTGTCCTCCCTTCCTTTCTTTTTTTCTTTCTTTCTTTTTTTTTTTTTTTTTTCTTTCTCAACCAACAACAATCTCTTCTCCAATTCTCCTGTCTTGTATAAATATTTGCCTTAATACAAACCTTCCAAATCTTTCAATCCAGACGGTCCAACGGCTGACCCGAAAACTGATAACTAGACGTGTTCCATTTCTGGGTCGATTTTTAAAAGGTTGGTAAAAACTCCTAATCCCAATTGGGATCTCCTACCAATAATATCCGTTTCAACACCCAACCAACTTGATCCCACGCCACACATCTAATTATGAACGTACGTGATCTCCTACCAATAATATCCGTATCAACCTCAGTACCAGTACAGTACCAGTGAACGTACGTGAAACATGTTATCATGCAATGCAAACTATCAACCTCAACCCGTGCGCGATTGATGCGGGCGATCTGACACAAACCGTCGATGTCACATGCGGTTCTAAGTTCTAACAAGTGGATTACGATAAAGGTGGGGCCTACATGTGTGAAGTCAAGTCTCAAGTGTGAACTAACTCAGTAACTGCTGCTGATGGACCTCACATGGGTGGCACCTTCTGTCCTTCCCTTACTAAGGGCACGCTCACATATTTCCCTCCACTCACCCCTAATTTCAGTGGACTGAAATACCTCTATGGCCAAGCTTTGCTTGTGCTTGCCACAGAAATCTCTAGAAAAAAGGAAAGTCAGCATGCCAATAGAAAGTTCTTATCTGCCACGTCAACAACGAACCTCGAGGTAAGGCCAATTTTGTCAAACTACAGTACAAAATGACGAAGGTGAGTTGGAGGGAGATTAAACCAATTCGAATTTCCTACCCACAAAGACATTACAGTTATATATTAGGAATATCTCTCATGAATGGTAATATATAGATAGGAGAGATATTCTTGATGGAAGGCTGTAGTGATGCGTGGGTAGATATGGATAGGATTCTTGTGGGTAGGAGATTGGAAGGCAGAATAAACAGGGGCAGAAAATTTTCAAGAAGAAAACCGGAGAGAAATTAATTCTGTTACCTTGCACAGAATTTGAATCAATTCCTGAGAAATCACGTTCTTCAATTAAAATCGATTAATGACGGTCTTATCCAAATCGAAATACCTACCATAATTAACTCACCCTCTCCCTTATTTATTCGCTCTTCACTCTTCTCTTTCTACTGCATGTCCATTTTTTTTAAATTTTCTTATCTCTTTCTTTCCACACTGTTTTATCTTTTTTCCTTCTTCACTCTTTCGTTCTCGTTAATGGCGACTTGTTCAGTTCTCTCTTCGGTTCTTATCTTCTTCTACAGCAATCTTCTGATATGGAACAATGGCGTCTTTGTCGAAGCATCTCACAGGGTCTTCCCTCAGTACCAGCCTCTCGCAGTCTCAAAAGTTAGCCAACGTTACAGAACCGGGTATCACTTTCAACCCTCCAAGCACTGGATTAATGGTACTCTCTCTCTCTCTCTCCAAGTTAGTGGCTCTAGAAGAGAATATGGGCAATGGAGGCCTGCATTGCCATATCAACCGGAAAGGAGGAAAGCTCCATTTCCGTGGTGTATTATAGCATGCATGGAAGGAGAACCCATAAGCATTCAGAGTCTCTCTGATGAATATTCAATATTCAGGGTCTTTGTCTGAAGGTATCTGCCTGCAAATATCCAACAGAACCCATAAGGATAATTCTAACTAGGGCTGTTCACGGATCGGGTTGGGTCGGTTTATTAGCGTTTTTTCAACTGACCTGACCTGGTTGGTTTACCTAGAAATGAAATTAAAATTGATTCAATACTAAGTAAAACTGACCTAATCAGTTTGAATCCATTAGTTTTGTGAATGATTCTCTCACTGTAAACGATAAAGAATTCAAGTATAGAAAACAAAGACCGGATGCGCATCTCTTATCATTTCACATTATTATTATTATTATTATTATTATTATTATTATTATTATTATTATTATTATTATTAACTTTGGATGTGAAGAAAGATCTGAGGGATAAGGTTTTTTGAAAGGGCTCTTAAATCCTTTTGCTGTATTAATCTTTTCTGAGTAGTTTGAAAATTATATGAGTTGAATACATAATCAACCCTTAATCAATCTGAATGGTGTGGATTTTGCATGGTAGTCTCTCCATGTGGCCAATAAAGGTTTTCCTTGCAAAACTTTTTTGATGGGATTGCACTTCTCTGACGTCGGATAGGAATCTACTTGCACCCTGCATGTAACCCACCATCTAGGGTGTGATTTGGAGTTTTGAAGCAGTTAGTTTTCTGTATTTTCAGCCTTGCATGAACGCGGTTACTCGGTCCCCTCTTAACTAATGATACACTTTTGTGGTTTATTAATTTGACACGTGTTAATACCCTATCTCCATAGTTAAGCTTTGATAAATGTTTTGTAGGGAGGTTATAATTGGGCAAATCCCCCTTTTGATAAGAGGGACGCTAGGATGCATTCAAACATGATCTGTGTTTGCACATATTTCACCCATAAATTCCTTAATGGGTTCGAGTTTTATTGTGGGTCTCACTCTTGTAGTTGGGATCTGCTCTAAACTGAGCGCACCCCACACGGACCTCACAGATGAGGCTATGAAATCCTCATTTCATAACAAGATGCGTAGACACAGATCATGTCAGAACGTGTTAAAAATGTATTTTATTATGGGTGATCATAGGTTGGCCAGGTTAATACATATGATATGGGTTACAGTCCGGGTCCATTCTAGGTTTTTGGGCCTATGACTTTAAATACATTTATATGATAAATACACCATAGTAGGGAGTTCAGATCGGCTCCCCTCAGAATGCACCCCAAACATGCCTCACAGCACATCTTAGAATGCATTGAGACTTGAGACCATTTCCCGCATTTGTCATGGGGAGAACAGAGTTGTTCCTAATACACAGTTGGGATAGCTGTGGGGTCATATCCTTAAGCAATAAGCCATTTAATTCAACCATTTCACTTGATATAAAACGATCCCAAGAGTATATTCGCGAAGGGCCCATTTAATTTCCGATTAGTATCTTGTACTTTGGGTCTAGTGTCATTTTGGTCCCCGAACTTTAAAATGTGACAATTCAGTATCTGAACTTTCGAAACATAACAATTAAGTACCTGTCGTTAACTAGCTGTTAATCAGTTGTTGAGTGATATTTGACACAAATGCCTTTTGAGTGTCATCTAATTTTCTTTATCAACTATCCAAACATTGACAAAAAAATTAGTAGTCTCAAATCCTTACCTCTTCTATTCGAAAAAGTTAGGGTCACAAAAATGCCCACTCAAATGTTATTTCATTTATGCTAATAGGCCCTTCCCAATCTTTGTTGCCTTAACCCTACTAACATGATAGCCAGGTCTAAGTATATATCACCTCACCTTTTTGGGGGCCAAATCCACATTATATTATAGACATTAACCCACACAAAAACTAATAAATAAAAAAAAAGGATATTCTTGCTAATGTGGGGTTTGGGAAGGGACAGATGTTCGCAACCTTACTCCTATACATACATACAAAGAGGCTGTTTCCAAGATTTAAACCTTGATCACCCCTCACCTTTTTGGGGGTCAAATCCACATTATATTATAGACATTAACCCACATAAAAGCTAATAAATAAAAAAAAGGATATTCTTGCTAATGTAGGGTTTGGGAAGGGATAGATGTTCACAGTCTTACTCCTACACATACATACAAAGAGACTGTTTCCAAGATTTAAACCTTGATCACCCAGGTCGCAAATAAAATGGTGTGCTCAAAGCTATCCACTTTTAACAATGAGATGTGAACCATTGTATATGTATGCCATTGCTGAAGTTTTGTTCTTTCTTTCTGCTCTTTTGTCTTTATATTCTCGATTTGCTTCATTTGATACATTATTGCTAGTTGCTCAATTGCTACTGTATCTGACTTCTCTTCCTCCTTTGCATTTGGCACTTGATTCCCTGCAACAAATGAACCAAACAGACCCAAATGGTAAGTTAATTTGGTCGCTTTTCCTTCTAATATTGATTCCTATTTTGTTTCTCTTGGCAATGAACTCTTTACATCCATTTGATTAAATGAAACAGGACCAATGTATTACAATGGCATCTACCATCTATTCTACCAATACAACCCCAGAGGTGCTGTATGGGGCAACATCGTGTGGGCCCATTCAGTATCAACCGATTTGATCAACTGGGCCCCGCTCGAACCGGCTCTCTACCCAACCGAACCATTCGACATCAACGGATGCTGGTCCGGGTCGGCCACAATCCTCCCAGGCAATAAGCCTGTTATCCTCTACACAGGCATCGACACGCAGAACCGGCAAGTTCAGAACATAGCGGTGCCGAAGAACCTGTCGGACCCGTATCTCCGGGAGTGGACGAAGCCTGGTCACAACCCGCTGATGGTGCCGGCGGGAGACATTAACGTCAGCTCATTCCGTGACCCCACGACTGCATGGTGGGGAAATGGACATTGGAAAGTTTTGGTTGGGAACAAGAGAGGACGAAGAGGGATGGCTCTTCTGTACAGGAGTAGAGACTTCGTAACATGGAAGAAGTCGCCTCATCCTCTGCACTCTGCGCCGGGAACGGGGATGTGGGAGTGCCCGGATTTCTTCCCTGTTTCATTGGCCGGAGAAGAAGGACTAGATGCATCAAGAACTGGGGTGGGTGTTAAGCATGTTTTGAAGGTCAGCCTTGATTCTTCAAGGTTTGAGTACTACACGGTGGGCAGATATTTCCCGGAGAAGGACCGATATATTCCTGATAACACATCTGCAGATAATGCAATGGGGCTGAGGTTTGATTATGGCAACTTCTATGCGTCCAAGACATTCTTTGATGCTGGGAAGAAGAGAAGGATTTTATGGGGCTGGACTAATGAGTCTGATACTGCTGCAGATGATGTTGCTAAAGGTTGGGCTGGAATTCAGGTAATTAAATTTCTAGTTAGGCCAAATGATCATTGCTTTATCGCTTGTGTTTGCCTTCCTCAACTATCATTTCTGAGATAGAATAATGATGCTTCCCTTCTATTTATTCTGTGAATTTTTCTTTTTTCTTGAGACAATTCCGAGGAAACTGTGGCTTGATAAGAGTGGAAGACAGATAGTCCAGTGGCCCATCCAAGAACTTGAAGCGCTAAGGCAAAATGGAGTTCATTTGAGAAAGGTACATCTCAGAAAGGGAGGGATTGTTGAAGTTAAAGGAATAACAGCTGCACAGGTTAGTTAATTAGATATCTGTTTCTCATTTATATTTGTTTAGGTACTTCTAGCTAGCTGATCTTCTATATTAATGGCTTAGGCTTCTCCCATGAACTCATTTGGGTGCCAATGTTCTTCACAGGCTGATGTTGAAGTCACCTTTAGTTTGCCAAACTTGAAGAAAGCTGAGCCCTTTGATCCTAGTTGGGATGATCCACAACAGCAATGTAGTCGAAGGGGAGCTACTGTTGAAGGTGGCGTAGGACCCTTTGGGTTGTTGGCATTAGCTTCCAGAAACCTTGATGAATACACATCTATTTTCTTCAGGGTTTTTAAAGCACAAGACAAACATGTTGTGCTTATGTGCTCTGACCAGACCAGGTTCATTCATATATCCTTAGTGCATGCCCATCTGTTCTTATCAATTAGTATCTCTGTTGATTCACCTACTAAAAACCTGATTTTTGCATGGTTCATCTTGCTACCTAAAACAGGTCTTCACTAAGGACAGAAGTATATAAACCAGCATTTGGAGGCTTTGTTTATGTAGATTTAGAAGATGGAAAGCTGTCTCTAAGGAGTCTGGTATGGTTGCAGCCTTTTAACTATAACCTTAATTAATTTCTGTGGATACAAGAAATGGTTTTGGATCGACGCTGGCTTTAATTTGTTTTTCTCTATCTTAAGCTTTGGTTTTAATGAACTGTTACAGATTGATAACTCTGTGGTTGAAAGCTTTGGTGCTGGAGGGAAGACATGCATTACATCTCGTGTTTACCCTATCTTAGCAGTAGCTGAGGGTGCTCATTTGTATGCATTTAACAATGGGTCTGAGCCTGTTCAACTTGTGAAGCTGAAAGCGTGGAGCATGCGGAGACCCCGGATGAATTGAATGGAAGATAGATAAACTAGGAGGATTATTTAGCTGCAAGTCTTCAAACTTGGAGATACGTGCAGGAATTTTGTATGCAGTTTTCCTGTAGTATTGTTCCACCATAAAAGAAAAATCAACTTGAAGCTCTTCTGTTGTCAAAACCCTAAAGGTTGAAAGACTGGCTTCAAGTCTTACGTTACTTTGCTCTAGTTTTTGTTTTACTTTTGTCTTCATTGTAACAATTTGTAATTCATTTGCACTTACACTAGTGCAAATAAATTTTCATGGTAACAAACAAGGCTTAAATGTATCCCTAAGTTTCTTAAAATTGCCTTTTCAATATTACTAATCTTGTATTAAGAAGAACTAACCAAAATAAAAAGACCAATCAAAGATGGGCTTAATTAGACGGCCATCAATTCCTAACCACGACTCAAAAATCAAAACAGACCATCAAAGGGATCCAACGTCCACCTTGTGCCTGATACTTTATATCTAGTTCTGGGCCGAGGATCCAAGCATGCCAGACTGCCAGTATTAAGTAAAAACTATGGTTTTTCAAAAATTAAAATTTTAATATTAGTTTATAATTTTTTTTGTTGAAGCCAATTTAATTTTATAATCAAAATTACATATAAAACTATTATTTAGATATTAATATATTATGTTATATACATATATACATGCCATATTATCCAAGCTGGGCCGGGCCTGGAAGAAAATAGTTGCCTGGTCTTGTAAATTTGCAGGTTGGTCGGGTCATAAATGGAGGTGAATTGCGATGATTGAGCTATGGTGGTTGAGCATCCATGTTCTAGTAGAGTAGCTTTGTATCACAGTCGTGTTTCTTGTGTCCAGAATGCTGATATTGGCTTTCTAGATTTTCCCCAAACGCAGCTTTAGAATGTAGTTTCTGTATAGAGCCCAACTCGAAACAAGAGAAGCCACACACAAAAACTCTCCCATGTGGGCACTATATGTAATATGTGTGTAGGGGTTTCAGATTATTTATAAACAAGGTATCTCACCTGTTTCTAGCTAGGAATTAAAGAAGACTACAAGAAAATGGACCCATACACTTAGCATCAGTCCATAAACATCAATAAAAAAGAATCCAGCAATGGATCCCAAGTGTTTGCACTCTACGTATTTGTATTATTACTCTTTCCAAACCGAGCCTGAGCACAATGGCTGTTCAGCCTCACATTAACCCTAACACCTTATACTCCCAAAACCCTCTTCCTCTCTTAATGTGTCAGTGTTGAAAAGCCCTAGAATAGGGTAATACATATTTATATAGCGAAGGTTAATGTTATAGGCATTATTGTTCTGACTTCTGAGCTCAGATATTTGAGCCGTCGAGGCTCCTCTCAGAAGGTAATCCTTTGGTTATTTTCTAATTAAGCATCGCAAAATCATCAATTAGTAAGTAGATGTAAGAATCAGAATGAAGAAACGGAAGAATTGGAAATGGGAATTTAAGATGAATAGGATGATCACAATAAGAAGGCTCTAAGATTGAATTTGGAACAAGTGTCAATGTGTCATAGATGGATTTTTTTTTTTCCCTTAGGGAGCGTTTGATTTGAAGGAAAAGATGGGGAAACCTTTAAAAACATCCATCTCTCTGCCCAACCAGATATGCAAGGGCAAGTTTATAATGTAATTACTTCATGCCCATTTAAATAAGCCAAAGGGGTCTGTATATATAATTTCTGCCGAATGGTGGGAGATGGTGACTTAGGGCTACTTGGTGGTCATATTAGGAAATGCAAAAACATTTACGGAAAAATACCAAGGGAGGATTAAATAATTTATATACTTTTTAAGTTGTACTCAATCCGACCATACAGTTGGCCTGTGTTTGCTTTAGGTTGTATTTGATACCATTGTCACTTCTACTTGCAAGCTTTAGAGTAGTCAATATATTCTTTTCCATGAGCCCCAAAGTGCTCCTCACACCAATCTCTCACATGTCCAAGATGCAGATGGGGAACATCTCCCATACATTGTGTTGTCATTCATGGGGACATGCTTCCAATACACCATGGGATGGGGCTGTGAGGTTGGTGTGAGGTGAGGTACACTGAGTGAGGAGCAACAAAGAAAATCCTGATTCCTTTTCCACCACAAATACTTTGAATTATTAATACAACATTGCTTTCCACCACTCATGTGATGTCTCTACTACCACAAATGCCAATACCCAATCCAGTTTAGTGGAATTATGTAATGTAATGTGACAAGAAAATTTCTAAAAAATGCCAATACCAAATAGTGTGTTGTGGGCTTTAATAACATCTCAAAAAATGCCACGTGTCTAGATTTCTAGAAAGATGAAAATGTCACTATCTAAATGGTGGGGGCTATAGCCTTAAAAACATTCTTTTAATATATATATATATATTAGATTTGCTTCATATCTACACTACTTAGGGGGCTTTCTTTTTTCGGATTGTGAGAGGGGGGAAAGTTGGTCAATGGGATTTTGGTTCCCATTGACCAAGAATCCCATGTTCTTTTTTCGGATTTATGTGGGGGTTAGGGAAAGTTTATTTTCCTGGGTATCACTTACCCGGGTAAGTGATATCCATCTCCTATGTGGGTAAATAAGTTTCCCACTTGGGGGGAAAGTTGCCAACACTTGAATGTGACAAAAATACCCTTTTTAATAATGGATTTTTATGGCTAAAATAGTCATTGCCTTAATTACATGAGAAATAAAAGAACATGGGTAAATGCACTTACCCGATTAAATATTTTTCAGGAAAAACTTATCCAGGTAATTGCATTTACTAAGATAAATAACTTACCAAAAAGCAAACGGGGCCTTATAATCAGGCAGATTATTTATTCGGAAGGTCTCCATGCCTATTATCTTCTGCAATCCAAGCCCCTTCCCACTCTGCCGAATAAGTAAGGCTTGCACATGTTTCAGACATGGGTCGTTGGGCTTGGATGGTGGGTCTTTAAGTCCATGCGACTAATATATGGGCTAGACTGGGGAAGGATTTGGGGCCAAGGCATGAGCCTGTTCATAAGTCGTTGGCTCAGAACTAAAGCATTTGCGTAAATCGATCAAAAAGGGATCTACGAATTTGTAGGGCATAAAAAAATAATGTGTAAGAGGAATTTGGGTTTGTACAGATATACTAACTAGTTTAGTTAATGAGTACATATACAGATATACTACTGACACATCAAATCTAATAATACATTGATGCATAGAGGTCTTTGTATATACGAGTCTATTAGTTTGGGCATTAAGGAGGTTCCATCACATAAGACAAGAATGAAAACCAATAATTTGATTATTGCACATAGATTGTATGGTAGATATGATGAGATGTGGTTTTGTCAAAAATGGTAGCAGTTTCCTTTTCCACTTCCAAGCTCCACTCCTCACAGTTTAAAGAAATCTATCAGAGGCTTATCAGCAATCTCTTTGGTAAAGAACTTGTTTTCGAATTCTTCGATTGTAAATTTTCTGTAGAGGGCTGGTTTTTCGGGTGACAGCAGCTCTTCCAATGGTCCATAACTGTCTGAGTTTTCTGTTTTATCCACATTGATTAGAACAGCTATAGAGATTCGTGGCTCTCGGACACGGTTGGCCAATACACGATGCTGCCCGCTCATGTATTCATTGTTAGACAAGATCTGGACAATTACCAAAACAAAATAATTATTGTTAGCATGCCAAGAGTGATCCAATCTGAGGTGTTTGAACCCTTTGCTCAACCTCATCTTCAATCCAAATGTAATTTGTGTTTGGATTAGATTCAGGATTTGTTCTTTTAAAGCCCTAAAGTACAAAACCCCAATTTTAGGATTCACACTTTGGGGCTTGGTTTTAGATTGTTACATTTTTAGAAACAACTCTTACCGAATACTCAAAACACTTTTTTGCTCATTTTTGTTCTCATATTTCAAAGCTCAAAAGCAAAAAGTTTATCAGAATTAAATGAAATCTACAGTGAACTCTAATCCAACCCAAGCCATTGAAAGTGCATTTGGCTTAGGTTGGGATTGGGTTGGTATAGCTTTTTCACCTCTTTTTGTTTACAAAAAAGTGTTTCTGATGAGGACTGTTTGAGAGGGCTAAAGCCCACAACCCACTATCAGGCTATAGCCCCCACCATTCAGGCATGTGGCCTTCTCATTTTTCTGGAAAGCTAGACATGCGGCATTGTTTGAAGAGTTGTTGCTAAAGCACTAAAGCCCACAACCCACTACCACTATTTAGACGCGTACATCCTATTAAATCAAGAAATAGAATTCAAAAAGTGGGTAGTTTTATTTCTCAATATACAATTATTTATTATCTTAACACATGTTTATCCATAGTCTATTAAATGTAAATGGTGTGACCTATTAAAAGATCACTATAAACCCACACTTGTTTTTAAATTATTTTTTTTTCAAAAAGAAAATACTTTATTAATTACAAAATTGATTTAACTTTTATGAAGCAACCTATTTCTAACTTTTAAAAATAAATAACTCAAAATAGATTTATTAGATAAATAGTAAATACCAAATGAAGTGGGTTATTGTTTACCAATAAGATCTCATTTGATATCTTAAATTAAATTAAAAAAAAAACATAAATTAATAATGGGTTTCAAATAAAATAGATCAGAATAGATTGTCAATTACAAAGAAGTAAAACCCATATTAGTTTTTTTTTTTAATTTAATTTTTGATAACTACAGATCGGTGCTTCCGTCGAGGAACCCCTACGAACCGAACTGGTGAGTTTTTTACTTCAAAATTTAGATATTTTTGCCTGGTCCGTGGCCGACATGCC